GGGTGGTGGAGCACTGGAACAGGCTCCCCCCAGGAGGTGGTCACAGTGGCGAGCCTGACAACATTCAAGAAGCATTTGGACAATGCCCCCAGACATATGGTGTGATTTTTGGGGTTGTCCTATGCAGGGACAGGAGTTGGACTCAATGATCCTTGTGGGTCCCTTCCAACTCAGGATATTCTATGATTCTATATAGCTTTGTCTCCCTGCCACAGCCTCTCAGGCTGGGTACCAATCTCATGGCACTTGTGACGGTGCCCATGAGCAAGGCCCTTGGGGAGGTTTCAACCACTGATGCCCTGTGGGAAAGGAGCAGAAACATGAATAGGACTGTTTCTGTTAACTTGAGTACAAGCTCCTCAGGACAGGAGCTGCCTTTTTCTTCTGTGTTTGTCTGCCCATCCAGGACAATAGGCTTGGCAGTGAGATCTCTGGTAACACAAAGACCTTGCAACACCTGTCTGTGTTCATACTGCTGCTAACCCAATTCACAAGAGGCCACTCTTTAGGGTTTCTGTTGAGAGGGAGTTTATTGATGAATCTTTATTTTTCCCAGAAAGCTCTATTTCAGTCAACCAGGCATTTAGCATGGCTCTGAATAAGATGGAGAGATGAGGAATGATAAATATTAAAGCCTCTGGATTGTGATCTCAGCAGCTTATGGGTAGGGAGAAGTCGCATTAGTCTGAATAAATGTAAGTCAAGGAAGACGTGAAGTAAAACCAAGATGAGCTCAAAACAGGCATTGCCTACCATCTGTAAACTATCTTACTGGATTCTTTTCTTGGCTATGTTAGTTGTTATCTTGGTGCACGGTACAGGGAAAACAGAGCATCTCCTAACATAACTAGCCATAGATGGGTAGGGTCCCTGCAGTAGCCCACACAGACTGTGTCAGCGTGATAAATGATACATGGCCCTGTGCTGGGACTTTGTCCAGGCTGTGGTGCAACTACTGGAAATTTGATTGGACAGCATTCAGTAAGGAAAAAATAATCTATACCTTTGCGGGCCATGGATCACGTAGGTTATGAGTCAATATTAAGGAGAAGAAAACAATAGGATAACACCCACTCCTCATGCAAAGTCACAGAGAGGAGAACCTGGGTTTTGTCCCTTTCAAGAGATAAGAGGCTATAGCATATCTCCCAGTGAAATATTTCTAATGCTGACAAGTGCTAACTCATGTAGTCTGTGAGTCTGTGTAGGAAATCATCAATACTCATCCCCATTCTAACTGGACAAATCACAGTTTCCTGACAAATCCAGTTCAGAGGGCTGCTACGGTCTTTTCCATGGTTTACCATCACAAACTGGGATGGCAAAAGTCATAGGGCATGGCTTAATAAGCTTAATAAGCCCACAGCCATGTCCTGAATCACAGGAAAGGGATTGGACTATGAGCAGGGAGGTGCTGGCTTGTTGCTGGAAGCTGCAGGTTGGTGATCCCAAAAGAGAGCTCTGCTGGCTAGAGGAGAAGAGTTAATGAAGCTGTTTGTGCTCCCAGGCAATGCCTATTAAACTATCCACAACTAGTTAGACCAGGTTGCTAATGTCCTACAGCATAACAGCCTGTCTGATAAGGAAGAAAAGGGTCTGGCTGACTCTCTCCACCTGCTCTGTCAAAACCCAATCAGTCAATCATCTGAAGAGGAATGGAAGTGGAGAGCAAGGACTTGCATCAT